TTTGTTTTAACCTTTTCAAACGTACAGAGGCTCATTTCATTTTAATCAAAATTGATGAGATGGCATGGAATCAATTAAATCACATTGTTTCCGCGCTTGCAATGCGACTCCTTCCCTACCCACAGCTCTGGCTTTCCTATCTGGTCCCACACCCCTCCATCCTCCCTCTTTAGTCTGCATGGCTGTTGTATATTGCATCCATTTCAGGCCTGCCTGCGGGCTGATCCTGTCGCAGTAGATTGCAGGAGATATGTGTTGCTAATCGAATTTTGTCTCCTTGGGACCTGAGTGAGTGAGCAGCCTCTGTTTGTGGACCCGAGCTGGACACAGGCCTTGCACGGATGGGGGACTCACCATGCCGGACTTCAAGGAAAGGTCAGGAGTGACAGGCCTCGCTGTTAAACTAATGTGACACTACTCGTTGCCTCCGTTTAACCAGGTGGGCAAAATCAGGACGAGTCCCAGCTGAGTTCCAAGTCGGCCATGTTTTAGTTATTTTTCTAATTAAAGGTTATTTCACCTTAAGTACATTTCAGACAGCTTGCCTTTTGGAGGAGAAACGCTGTTTACATTGAGACACATCTCCTTATATGTTATTGCTGAAAGACAAGATCCCAACTACTGATGTTATAAAAACAAGTTTCCATCTTGTAAAACAGTCTATACAGACTTTACCTTAGCAGCCACTTCACCTGCATGCCAGCAACACACACAAAAAAGACTGATTGTCAGTGCAATCATTCAACAGAGGTGGATAGTAATTGTTTCTTTGCAGCAAGGATATTTCATAAATGTTATGCAAGAGGAAGAATTCAATGCTATTTTGGCCCTATGCTTCTATAGAATAGATCTTCCTGCTTATAACAACAGGATACCTGTGTGTGTATATACTGTGGTGACCCCTCCTTTGTCCTGAATGACAAATATAGATGTATGGCTCCAAACATTCAGAGCAGTCTGCTTAAGGTTAGAAAAGTGCTGAAACGAGGACTTAAACAAGGACTTTAATAATTAAGGTAGCGGCATAGTACCTTAATATTCATAGTATAATGCCTTAGTAATAATTAGGTATTATGTAAAATGTTAGCAATGATGCTAACATTGACCAAAGAATTCAAACACAAGATACTAAGCTCTTACACCTATTGTTCAAATATTGTATTATACTGTTTAAAGTTCCTTGACAGTAAGATATATGTCGAAGCTTACACTATACCTGTTAGGCAATTAAATTAACTCAGATATTTCCAACAGTTATCAAAGCCAGAGAAATCCTTTATTTTATAGTCGTAATGGGACGCCTCTTGTCGTGGCGGCCGCCATGACAGACACAACATGTTTATCGTTGTCGTGGAAACACCGGGTGTTAAGTCAAAGACAGCGACATAAGGAAGCAGGAACTGCTACTGAAAGCTGCATTATAGTGCTGTATGTGCTGCTGTCATAACTTAATGTAAATCATACTTGGATGCATTAGCTCGTCTATAAACATATTCTTTTCCTCAGGTGAATTTCGCCGTTTGTCTTGACTTTACATTCGTTCGTTTTCATTGAAGGTGAAGTGGCGAAGATCACTTCCTTGATTCCAAAACCCGCCTCGAAGTCATCTTTTGTTCTTTTTTTGACAGAGAGCCCACTGACGGTGGAATTAATACAATTTTTCACACTAAGACACCAACCAAGATAAATTATTTGTATGTGCGAAGCTACTTGGCAATAAACCAGATTTAGATTCTTATGCTTTGTTTACAAAAATGTGCCTTTAATTTGGCAAAACATTCATTTGAAAGACCTAGATTTGTCCGCTGTGCTGATCAGATATGTCTTCTTATCAACTGCTCAGTGAAAAAAACATAACTTTACTAAGAAATAGATGTTAGGAGGAGTGCTGATTTTTTTACACATTCATGATCACACACGTACAGACGGACATGTCTTGCACCACCTTTGACTCCTGAAGGCTCAGGCCTGGCAAGCCGTCTCCTCCAGCTCCTCGGGGAGTTCCTCCAAACCTCATTGTTATGTTTCCTTATCGCACCAGATGACACCTTGTTGATTTTGTCTCTGCTATTATTCTCTCAGGAAAGTGATTGTTCTTCATTTCCTGTGTGAGGGTTTATAGGAACAGTCAAGGTCCGGGTTAGGGCAAGGTTTTAGGGAACCGAATAAACCATCATTGGTCCGACGTCAGCATCTGCACCACAGGTTTGTTTCCTTCTTCAGTGTTTTCGCAGTTTCAGATTTGTGTGTTTGATTTAGCTCCAGATGGTTATTTGGATGATGGGCAACAACTTTTCCAAAGAAACATTCAAGGATAGGTCAGAGTAAGATTGGAGTATAAACAATCCCACACCTTTGTTGGACAGTCCCACGGAGGAGTCCTTTTTTTCACAAACTAAACTCATTCCTCGACATAGCGGGAGACAATAGAACATACTGTAACCTACATTTTCTCTTTTTTTAATAATTCTTGGTACAAAGGGACAGAAAGTATTATGCCTTGCAGTGTTTATATTTTTGCAGCTTCACATCTTACGTAACAGTTATAGAGGACGAAATAGAAAATGTTAATATTGGATAAAAGTCTGGTCTATTCTTTAGTCAGGATCCTACTTTGAAACTTTAAATCCCCCCCCCGATTCAAGCACTCTTACAGTTCAAACAGAAATCATGCCAATCGTCCTGCTGTCAAACCTCCCCTTTTAGTGCCCCCTAATTTTATCCACCATTCAAACTCCACTTTGTTTACCACCTATTGTGTTCCTTATTCACTAGTTGCTCTGGGACCAAAAGGCTGTGAACCACAAAAAGATAAAGTCTTTGATATATAGATAAAGGAGACTGCCAAGATAACAGAATTGTATTTTAAGCTTTTGGAGGACAATGGAATCACATACAAAGTAAGAGGTGAGTGCTACAGAGTTCATTTTTACTGAACCTTTTGCTGTTGGATATACACCAAATTTCCCAGATGTGCTGTGAAAAGCTATACGTTTGACGCTATGACTTAACCACAGTGCTTTTTTTCCCCCTCACTGAATGTATACAACATGTAGGGAAAAAGACTTAACATTGCTGAGGTGCTTAAAATCTTTGCAGACACTTGTCAAGCCCACAGTTTACAGCTTAAAGACACTCATCTTTTTGAAGGGCTGGGAGAGGTTTAAAGCCCAGTCCAGAGTTTTAATGAAGTCCAGAACAAAACAAACTCCCCTCAAAGCTAATACCATGACCTGGCCTTTATGTGGCTATTGCTTTAAGTTGAAAGAATGACAAAACAAGAAATGCACATATTATTCAGAAGGTACTTCTGTCAAAATGTTGCTTTTTTTAATGAAATCCCAAAGAGTACTACAGTATAATTCACAATGTAACCGTAAAGGCGTGTTGTACAACCCATCATAAGCGCTTTGTTGTGATTTATGTTGACACTTATGGCAGAGTTAGTAGGCTTTACTCAGCCTGAAACCGTGAGGTCACATAAATACTCATAGAAGGTGGGTGAAAGGTTACGATGCAGTGTGTATGTGTGTGCAAGTGTGTGTGTGCAGCGTGTGTATGTATATGTCAGTCGGGGTGATTGCTGGTTTAAATGACGATAGTGAATTAGGTAATGCAGGGCATGTTTGCAAATAGTTAGAAAAGGACGGATTGGAACAGTATTTGTTTTGACCCTAAATGCATGGGTTGTTATACTCAAGAGGCTCATAATGTGACTGCTGAGAGGCTGTGTCTTGTTCCATTAGCCTCCAATGCTGAGGTCCCCCAGGTTAGAGCCCGAACATTAAGAAAGGCACGGGAGGTCTCAAGAAATGTACACTGGGAGCCAGGACGATAGAGGTAAAAATGTGAAGAATGATATCATTTTGCCTCAAGCACTCCTCTAAGTCTCTAGGGGTAAAATAAAAAAAATATGGGTAAGGATTCAGGTTCAGTTGAAATAGTTATTTTATTTCCTTCAACTGTTACCAACAATTTGCACCGCTTTGCATCTGTTCTGAAGCCCCTCATGAGGGGACTTTTCCTTTAAACTATGATTTATATTCAGAAATACGCTCCCAATCATACACCGTCATGATGTACAAACGCAACATTGTGTCATTCTTGGCTTCAGATATATCTGAAAATACCAAATTCAATGCAAAAGAATAGAAGTAATTCCAGATAGAACAACAGTAATAACACATGATCCTTCCTTGTTACCTGTTCCTTTGCTTTACCATCACTGCAGTTATTCAATCATCAAAGACAAAATGCCCCAAACCAGCCATATTAGGCTTTTATAAAACAAGCTCTGGGGAGCAAAAAGGACATTCATTGACTTTAATGGGATGAACTGATCAACCATATCTAATAGAAATCATTGCCACTGGCAAAAGCTGCTGTACAATTGAATTACAAATAGAACACAATGCTTTTATGGCTTCTTAGAAAACTGTAATTCAATCTGTTCGATACAGAGAAGAAACAGATAAAGTCCAAATTCAAACATTAAAAAGTTTAGTTGTCTTTATAATCCAAGTACTTATACGAAGAGGTATTAATCTCGTCTTCTTTAAATTATGAAATCCAAACTTCAGTCAGATAAAAAAATAAGACAAATTGTCTTTTTAAAATACTCTTGATCTTCATCAATATACAAACACACCAATAGCTATTTACATTGAAGTTCTCCAAACAGAACACCACATTTAAAGGAAAGTAAGGCTTCCTTATGTTTCACTTGTGCATTCATCTGAAAAGAGGGGATCCAGACTTATGATAGCGCTGACAAGTCAAATGCTCGAGCTTATGGGAACCTGAGCTCAGCAAAATAAATAAAGAAAAACATCATGCCAAGTTGACATCAAACTGGAGAGAAAGTGTTCAATTATAAAATATCACGTGGAAGAGAGAGAGGAAACCGATTTAAGAGCTCACATATTATATCGACTGTGCTGGAGAAGGCAAGTCTCATAGTTCCTTCAGAATGGGCAGTCTTCCCTCAGACGCATCTGGACAACAGCAGCATCGGGTCATGGCGAGGTGTTTATAGCTTCACCAAATACGGAGGAAAACTCATTGCGCTGTAGACCTATGGTGCCTTTGTAGCGGTGACTTATTCATATACTCATTAATCTTCTTCTTTATAGGTAATAGGTATGTTTAAGGTAATTGTTAGATTGACTCGACTGTTAACCACACTACGCTCCGTGCGCGCGCGGTGACGCAGAGGGGAAGAGTCTTTTACTTTGATGCTTGAGTTTGTTGAGCATCAAGCTTCAGTTACAGTATTTTATACTAATGCTGTACTGAGTGACATAAGTAGCAAACAGCAACAACGTATTTCTGTTATACGCTGAACAATGTCACCTATTCACGCTGGCACTCGTAACCTGCATTGATCGCTGTGCGTAACTGAACTGACACTTTACGCATTAACACCAAACCTCTCTAAACTCTGTTTTTGTCTCCTCTCTAGCCCATGTACGCGAAGGTTTCAGCTGTAGTTTCGGGGGAGAACACTCGTCTGTCCGGGTTTTGTCGGCGGAATTGGTGCCCTGATCCAAGCGCGCCGATTCAGACCAGCGGCTCCGCCAGAACCCGCAGGGGGCCGTGAGAGCACTGGTCCAGCCTGGGCTTCGTACGCATCGCAGAGAAGATGAATATCCAGGTCCTGCCGGAACACAAGCTCTCGTCGGTGGCCCCGCTGAAACAGTGCAATGTGGAGAAAAAAGAGGTAGAACTGATACTGGTGAAGGATCAGAATGGCGTCCAGTACACAAGTTCCTCCATCATTCCAACCCCCGGTAACCATGCAGGTCTTCCCGGATCCGAGGACGAGCGAGAAACTTGGGGCAAGAAAATAGACTTTCTCCTGTCGGTGATTGGCTTCGCCGTGGACCTGGCCAATGTTTGGAGATTCCCTTACTTGTGCTACAAGAACGGAGGGGGTGAGTAGTCTAAATATTATACAGTCTTCCAAATTGAGTATACAACTGATCCTTGATAATTTAGAAGAGGTCAAACAAGTTATCACTGCGTCGCCACGGGCAGGTAAAGTGTCGTGGGACAGTAAGATGGAAATGCAGGACGTCACTGAGCCTAGCAGGGATATTAAACCGCAAAGAGGGAGTATCAAAAGCAAGCGTGTACTATTTTATTCAATAATGTACGGTGTGTTGTTGTTTTTTCATTTAGGGGTCAAGTACTAATGAGTGTCTGTTTTTCAATCCAAATGTCTGGTCTAGTAAATACTGCGGATAAGATTTAGATTTTGGGAGGGGAAATTTACCCCCCCCCCCTCATTTTCAGCTATCTTTTTAATAGTCCCAAGTGCATTAATAGAGAAGTGCATATCACCTTCAGATATACCTCCTTACATTAACGCAAGCACATGAAACATACAACAAATTTATGATCAGTTAGCTTTTCATTTCACATTTTAAGAAGTGATAGTGTTCAAGGTGAATGCAAACAGCCACCTTTAACCATATCTAAACTTGGGGATGTGTAACATACTTTTCCCTTTAAAGAACAAATGTATCATACTGTTATCTTAAAACTCTGTAAATCCACTCATTAAATGAGAACATGTTTATGCATCAAGAGTGAGGATTAAGTCTGGTTTGATAAAGGTGTTGACATGCAAACATCCACTGTAGCACTTTATAATGTTAAAGGATTCATAAATATTTTTAAGCACCATGTGATCGGAATATATGCTTTATTATGTTTGAAATAAATATGTTGTTTTTTATTCAGGGTTTAACAAAACCAAGAGAAAACATCCAGTTCTCCAAGTGTCTGAGCTCAGGTTTTCATACTGTATAGGAATACAAGAGTAACATGTTTTGGACTTGCACTGTTTTCAAAATAACTGACCACTGAGGCTGCACTGTAGTGTGAGGGACATGTACAATGGATTTCTTTAAACAAAGTGTTTTACTTTCAACTCACATGACAACAGAGTGCTCACCAGAAGGTGTGCCCTGTCCTCTGTGTGCCTGCAAGTCCATTCACATGCTGAAAATCAACATGTTGTGCTCAGGAGAGGCCACAAAGGGTCAACTCCACCACTGGCCTGTCAATCATAATCGCCCCAAGCAGAATGTATTCATTACTGTAGATAATGTGTCATTTGTGATGGACAATGTCAAGAACAATTGAATTATGAGAAGTAATTTCCGTGTTGGTGTTTGTGCTACTGTGGCACAGCATGAGAATAGCTGCGAGCCTTACTGCTTGTACGTCACGGCGTGTTGTTAATCCAACAATCTCAAGACCCCCTACCAACACTTTCCTTTCCTTGTCCAAAATTTTGTTGTGTCCTGCACTTAATTTCCGTACGAGTAGCCATCGTGCTTTTACTGTAGGCAAAAATTCATGATTCACAAGGAGGAAAAAGTTGAAATATCTTCCTAAAGTTGCATGAAATCTACATATTTCTCCTCTCAGGTGCCTTTTTGATCCCCTACATTCTGTTCCTGGTCATTGCGGGGATGCCATTGTTCTATATGGAACTCGCCTTGGGACAGTACAATAGGGAGGGGGCAGCTACAGTGTGGAAAATATGCCCCGTCTTTAAAGGTGAGCCGTTACACACATGCAAAAGCACACGTCTGTTTAACTCAGCCTTTCCCTAACCCCCCCTAACTGTGCTACTAACTGCTCAGTCATGCCCTTTTTTTTGCTTCACTTCAGTGTCTTGCCCTTTTATTTCTTGTCCTTTCCTCAGAAGTTCATAAGTGTCACTTGTAACTAAGCTCTTTGTCACATCCCCTTCGTCACTGTTTCACCTCTCTGAACGTTTTGATCTCTCTCCGCTTGTACTTTCAACCTTTCACCCCCGTCAGTGTATCTGCAAATGTCGATTTACAAATGCTGAAGTCAAACCTAACTGAGCTCGTGTCTATGGCATGCTGTGGAAAACAGTTGGGTTCTATATAATTACTTCACTAAATTCCAGTGATCAGAAACAAAACAGGAAAACCTCAAATGAAAGAGAACCTAATGTACTGTGAAAGAGAAAGCTTGGAGCGCACTTTAAAACTTGAATAACAGATTTATATTGTGATAACTTGTAAAGCTCAAACTTTCATTGAGTTTTTTTTATTTGGAAATTATAACAATGAAAAGATTTTTAAAAGTAACCGTTTGCTCTGTTGAATCGACATCAGTCACTGCCTTCGTTGGCGTCACTGCGGAGGAGGGTTTGTGTTTTTTTTCCTGCCTAGAATGAGCAGGTGATGGCTTTACGACTCTTATCGCGCATAGTCTTCACATTCCAGTGGAAGCAAAACAACTCATCCCTTTTTCTTGTAAAAAAAAAAAAAAAAAGGGCATTGAATGTTTATCACTATTACTCACATCTGGAGTGGTTTGGCAAAATAATGATTTGAATACCTCTTAACACACTGCTGATGGAAATCGATGGTTGGATCTAAGGCTGAATAGAATTGTTTATATCATTAGTAATTCAATGAATTGTACAGACGTTAAAAAAGAATTATGCAACTGTTGAAATGACATTGCTTTCAAATGACTGTCACTACTTCCAAAATGTACCTGCTATGCATGTTTTTTTATTTGATTAACTTGGTAAAGGCTTCAATGCACATTTGTTGTTCTAATAAATATGAAAAATATTTAATGTTATCACACATCATAAAGCAAATGTAATCAATTTTTTTTGTATCTACACATGTCATCAATATATAAGTGCAGCAGGTTTTAATGTTTTGGAAACATTTCCCTGAATGCAACCTATATCCTTAGAAAACCAACAACCCTGTTGGATAGTGTATATTAAGTGAATTTGCGATGTGCTGACATTCCATTCAGAAGTGAAGAGAAACTATTGTCGAGCAGATACTGTTCCATGTAACATACAAACACTTTGTGTTACAAACGTGTAGCACAATATGAGATTAAAACATCCTTTTGTACTTTCTCACTCATTTCTTGGTGTTCCTTAGGTGTGGGCTACACTGTGATCGTCATAGCCCTGTACGTTGGCTTCTACTACAATGTAATCATTGCCTGGTCCCTGTACTACCTGTTCTCCTCAATGACCAAAGAGCTGCCTTGGCTCAAATGTGGCAACAGCTGGAACAGTGAGAACTGCACCGACCCCAAAGCCATCAACGGATCAGTCCTTGGCAATGGAACGTCTTACGCCAAGTACAAGATAACCCCGGCAGCAGAGTTCTATGAGTGAGTGATTTCTGAAATTCTTTATCCGTTATTGACCTGTGAAGACCATTGCATGTCTTATATTTGGTGTATAGGGTTACACAAGTTCAAGATTCGAAACTGTATGTTATTGTTTACCATCAGAAAAGATATCCCAGTTTACAAAACTCTTGATGAGGGATGTGCGCATTTAGTTGACTAAAGGGTTAAACTTTTGGCCTTTAATGCCATTCAAATGTTATGTTCAAACTGCAATGCAGCCATCCATCACTTGACAGGGCTGTAGCCACAGACTGGCTGTAGCTTTGGTTAATGGGCCTGCAGTCCCCGCTCTACAACCCCGATGTAAACAAGCACAGTGAATGGATCATCTCCGCCGTTTGGAAATATTTTGGTCTAGAAAATGGAGATAAAGTTGTTTCTAGGTTGTGTCAGGTTAAATTGGCATATCTACAGGAGCAATATGTAACTACATTTAGCACGGGCATGTGGATGTCGGTTAAACAGTATTTAAATTTCGGTTTTAACGACTAGGAAATTAGTCGGCTTGGAACCTCCCTACTGTTGATTTAATAAATAGTTATAAAGACCCTTGAGACAATGATTTCAAATGACAAATAACCACCTTAATACAATTCAAAACAAATAACCAAACTAATAGTTTCAAACACTTCTTTTGACCTTTGAGAAGAAAATACATACTGGAACCACTTCACAGTAACCAAACTTTTCCAAGTTTTAAAGCCTCTTCAAATGTGGCCTCAAAGTCTAAAAATATATATCTTATAAGTTAATTGTCTCATTAAGCATCCACTAAAATCAATTAAATTAAATCTTTAGAAAATATTGTTCAAAATCAGCTCATTTTGCTGTTTACAGTCTCTGGAGACAGAATCGACAGGCTCTATAGAATGTTTCATCTCTCTGGTGTAACAAAACTATGGTGGTGTCTGGTGTTGCATGGGACTGTCAGCGTAGTGCATCCCTGAGAAGTATTTTCTAGGCTTTTCACGCTTGCATAAAACTCCTTAAAATATCCAAAAATGTTTCAGAGCTGCATGTGTGAAAGCAAAATGCAGAGTTTTTCCACTTTATTAGGACTTCTACCTGCATGTCCCCTCGTAAAAAATAGACACGAAGTCAAGATGAACTGAATAGTGAACGCAGCAGGTAATAATCAGGACATTTCAGCGAGTAGGTGGGGGCAATGAGTTTCTTATTCTATGACCGCTGCCCAAGCGGTTCAATCTTAGGGCACGTAATGCAGCTGCAGCATACTCTTTTCTGCTTGCTAACATTTTCTGTTGCACACTTTTGTTTGTATAAATGCTATGTGTACTTGGACACATTTATTGTATACAGGCAGAAACTGTGATCATAGTGTTGGACTATGTTGCTTTCTGTGCCATTTTGAAATAGTTCTAATAACCACTCGGTGACTTCCACATTGTCCTTCTGAAGTCATGTCTTGCCTCCTAGAAACTAAAGTCTAATATTTACTATTAACAACTGCTAAGTGAATTGTAACATTGTAACAACGCTGACCCTACAATATATAGTTAGAATGCAGTGGTTGGTTAGCGGTCTTAAGGGGCTTGAAAAGGAACACAATATTCCATACATCACAACTAAAAAAGGATCCGATTTAAGTCCCAACAACAAATTATCCACCAACAAAAAAAAAATTTCAACAAGTAACAAACAGTTACACTGCTGTTGAATATCTGCTGCTCTAATGCAACTCTCTGTCTGAACAAGAATACAAGTCAGACTCTGTGCTGAGGTCATTAAATCTAATCCCCAATCAAGATCAATATTAAATGTCAAAACGCAGTTATTTCAATCACTGTAACATGGATTGATGCTACCACTTGAATGTATTGATTTATTCTTTTTTTCCACAATTGTGCAAAGATCAACGCTTTAGCCTGCATGTTAAAGTAGCCACTGTTTTCACATGACCATCAATGTTCTTCGTCTTTGTTTTGTTTTTTTCCACTTAATGACACAATATGGCTGAGTCGGTATATTGAGTGCAGTCCACTCAACATACTGTCACATGAAAGGGATGCTTTCTCATGTTGGACTTATTTTCAAACTACTCTAGTATTCTACATAAATATGCATTACAAAACAACAGCTATTCATGCATAGAGGTTGACACAAGTCATGCAACATGAGTCAATGCACGCCAAAAACACTTGCACCTTTAAAAAGGTGTTTACATGAAAAGTTCAAATGCATACTTTGAACTACATGAAAAAACTCCATCTGTTTATACTTCAAAGACAGCCGGTTCTTCCCGAGCTTCTGTGAAGACTGACTGTGCAGCCCAGAGGAAGTCTGTGAGAAGACTTGGGGACACATACTAAGCCACACAGAATACATTCAGGCACATAATTGGGCTTGTTAAAAGTTCCACTCTCATTCTGCTGCACTACAACGACTTTATTTAATCAGCATCCCTGGATATCTTTGAACTTCCAGGAACCCGTCAAACTTGATATATTAAGAGAAGGTAAACAGTTTGACTTAGCATGAGGAGGTCAGCATTGACTTAAAAGCTTATGCCTTGTGAGTTACTACAGACTTTAAATGGTTGATGCAATGTCAGTCAAAGAGTATATGTGGTTCATAAATCCGAAAGCAGACACTCCTAAGAAAAAGACCACTTCAAGTGCATGGACAGGCTGACAACAATAAAGTGCTTCAAGACAGATCTTGCTAAGGGTTAGGCTCTGTAGGGGACAATAAATCCTCCTGCTTACAGCTAGCTTTGAGCGCAGGAGCAATGCCAAGGCACAGCATGAGAGAGTGAGACCAACTGAGTCAACAATTCTCTTGTACCACCTCTTACACCCACAACACTCTTGAGCCATACTGTCTTCATCTAAAGCCAGAACTAAACAGTCAAAAATCTAACTTAAATTAAACATTAATCAGTGCCTTTGTGTTTGCTAAGTAGGGGTTTAGACTCACTGACTAACACTGTGTTCACGATAACTATTAAGCCTATCATTTGGATCTAATTATTAAGACATACAGCACTCCAGGTTTCTCATGATTGCTATGTGACAATAAGATGTTAAATCTTGGAGATAAAGAGAAATAAGTCCGTTTGTTCACTTTGATTGCACCTGCGCTGTTAACAAGCAACTGCAAGTTGCTTTGTGATTTTGGAGGACAGTTGAACAGAGATTTGAGAGAAGTGATGACTTTTATTGCTGTTATTGAATCTTCAGGATCGTAAATTTAAAGAACATGGGACACAAACGTTATATAGAAAACAGCTGCTCATGTACGCATCCAGCAGACTCGTAATGGAAGTCTTATTTTTGGCCGCCCAAAAATGGGCTCTTCAGCTGCATTTTGTTCACCCGCTTGTCTGTTAAGTTTGTCATGTATTTACAGATGAACTAGTCAGATAAACATTTGGTTTATCAAAAGTTTTATTTAAATCTGAAAACAGTGCTGTACTGTATGTGACTGACTCATACAGCTGATTTGCAGGAATTAAACAAAGAAATAAAGAGCTAACCAATGTAAAAAATGATACAACTATAGTATGAGCAATTAGCTAATGGGATAATACATACAAAGAATATTTTAAAATAAACAAACCCATCACTATATATCATTGTGTATAGACATAAGATACATTTTTACACCTTCTTGTTTGGATTACAAGTTTATCAACTTAAGATCCTGTCAATCCTATCAAAAATAAATTGTATGTTACTGTAACTTCTGCAAAAGGTGACAACTAAAATCAAAAGATTATTTCAGGGGAACTTTCTGATGTTGTTTTACAATCACATACAGACAATTATAAAATAACTCCAGTGAGTTTTCAATAATTTTACATGTGACAGTAGAGTGAAAGGGATTTTGTGAATGCAAACAAAAAAAAAAAATTCTGCCAAAAGACTGACTGCAAAATAGATGTGTGCCTTTTTCTGTGGTTATTGCTGTCTGTAATATAAGTAATAAATTCATGCAGATGAGACAGGTTTTCAAAGAGTTCTTAAGCTGCCAGTAAGCCTCATTATGTGTGCATGTTTGATGGAAAAACAGTTGGAAACACCTTCCTTTCTTTCCTTGCCAACTCCAGAATGGAGTGTCGTATTAGACAATTTGTGTAACCTTGAAGACAATGACGTGCACTTCCTATTCCAGCAGCAGTTGGCCAGTAATGAGCAGGGAGGGAACTTCTTTCAAGTTTCTTATGAATCATTGTTTCAACAAAGATTCATGTCACCAGTGAAATCAGGTGCAACACTATACATGTAATACAAGAGAGTCTGTCTGAACATGTGTGCTTCAATATTACATTTTCAAATGGCTATCACAAGGCTCCTGTGTTTTCAACCTGCCTTCAAAGGTTGACCATAAGCAGCTATAAAACTCCTTTGTCAGTCAACATTGTACCAATAAGTTCTTTTAGAGCAAAGCATGCCCCTTCATATAAAATAAAAGTGTCAAATTTAGAGTAACAATTACACAATTCAATAAAAAAAAAAAAAAAATCCTTACTGGGCCTCAAGAATGTAATGTGTTAACAATTGTATGTTTTAATTTGTGTTAACAATAAAAAAACTCAATCTCTTAAAACATGGGCTTTTTGTGCAAGTCCCCTCCTTCAGAAAACTATCAGCCAAATAGACATAATGTTAATCCAATTCTGTTACAAACTGTTAACTTTGCAAGAAAATAGAGACGTTTTTCATTAAAGGTTGATGTCCAGACTATATGCATTGCCTCAATGCATAAATGTTATACTAATTTATTCAACTGTAGGTGCACATTTTAACAAAAGTGTAAAATAAAGTACCCATTTTACAAAATGACAAAAAAAAAAAAAAAACTTACTTCATGTTTAGATCCAGCCTGAAACAACCACATCTGATTTAATGATGATGATAACTAGACTTGATAAAAAGCTCTTATTCAAACTAAATTATGTCATTAAACAGAGATTTCATTTCATTCTTATTGTAACTTATTTGTGTAATGAATGACTTTTAAAATAAGGTGTAATGAAGCTGTTTTTGTATAGTAACTCAGGGCTTTAGTCCTCTTTCATTGATGTTTACTTTGGATGTTGCTTACAGAACTTGAAACTGAACATGCACGCTATATACATACCATAGTGTGCCAGCCTCAAATATACAAAGACCAGCTGAAGGCAACATTGAGTGTTAGAAATCCACATAACCAGCTTACTGAGTGAAGATAAGAGTGAATGTGTTTAGAGTAACTGGGCCAAAGGGAGCTGGATTGATGTTATAGTGGGCATTTACTGGCACTACACTATTAATGCTATCAGATGAACAAGGAGGCCTTGGGGCATTACAACATAACACCAACACAAGGACTTCATTTCACGAGCGCAGACTAAATTTCTCTCTCCAAACAAACTGATGTCTTCACACTGCTATCTGCCTCCCAAAAGACTTTATAGCTTTGAATATATTATCAGCCAAAGATAAGTAATTGCTAAAGATGAGTTTCACAGATCCTCTAGTCTCTGAGGATTGCGTTTCTGAACATATTTCAGTTTGCGTGTTCCCAGAGATTTTCGTGTCAGGCAGTTGTGTAAGCAACCTGAGTATCAGATCAAATCCGGTACTTTTGTTTATCAAACATAACATAACATGCCAAGTTAATTGGATTTTTCTTTCAGAAAGAGACACTGTGTTTAGGTCATCAATGATGTGCATCTGTTATAAGCTGCAGGCAGCGAACTCTTACAAGAAATGACTTTCTATTGTCATTTTCAACAACACTGTTCAGCCCCATACTGTATGCAGTTCAAGGAGAATGTCAACAAACGTGTATAATGGTATCATACACTAAATACAAATGAAGAAACAAGTAAAGTGATAATTAAAAAAAAAGGGTTAAAGTTTTTCCTTATCAGTGTATTGTAGATTGGTAAAAAAGGTAAACAAATGTAGCATTCAATGGTTTATGCTGCCCTCTATTGGGAAATCGGCAATGCAGGAAAACTATTTAAAACATAGTTAAATACTGAAGCAATAACCAGAATTTTGAGCAAAAGGCAACCTTGAAAGAAATTATGACCCTAATATGAACTACAAATATGGTTGACGAAAAATTGTCCAGAACCTTAGAACTAGGAACCGTGCATTTCATTTAATTTCTCTGATTTAGACTCCCAGATATTTGAATCTGCTTACTCCCTCTACAATTATCATTAGTGGTGCAACAGATCACAGTTGACCCGTGCACTTTAAGGATCATGTTCCATGTTTCAGAATGAATGTGATCTATGTATAAAGTGGAAAATGTTTTATCATGGAGTGAAATTAATTTACTACAAGCTAACCCCTTTGTAGAGTCTCAGTGACAAGAAAGCAGCATTTAAGTAGTGTGTGTAGGCACCATGAAGATCAGCTGTACAAATATGACAGTCCAGTATTTTTTAAAATGTAATATTATATTATGAGTTTTGCGCAAACTTTCACAGAAAACGGTCACATAAGTATGGCTACTTGGTATTTTAACAGTGCTTCAACTCCTCTCACTCTCATTGTGTCTACATTTATCATGTTAGTATCAGCTGGTGGTTGCTTTTGGCAGCATTAGTAACTTAAGGTTTATAACATTATCCCACAGTCGGCTGTAGTCTGTTGAATATAGCAATATTCAGGAGACTACAGCAGACTATGAGATACAAACTCTGTTAAACAGGGCCGTGTTCAATACAGAAACTGAATATACAGTCCCTAAATGCACACTCCCTGTTGGTTGTTTGGTCTTACAGCAAACAGAGCTCTGTTCAGGAGCAGCCAGTGCAAGGACGTAGCATTTAAAAGAGGTACTGCAGTCTTATATTGTATTTTGGGGAACACTAGACTTAGCAGATGTGATGTGAGACAAGGCCTGGGTCATTTCGTTTTTGCCCATTTGACCGTCAACTTGCTAGGACAACATAATGTCCTGGACAATTATGTACATAGCCATTATTTCAGCACTATTCATATGAATGCACTCTCTGTGGAACACCAGGAGGAAATGTCTTCAAATTTGGCAGCAAGACCACTTGGACTCGCTCATGAAACAGATTGGACCCTGCTGGTCAAAGGTCAATGTCAATGGGATGTTAAGCCCAAACTATTCTTGTGAACAAAAACTCTGGTATAGGTCATTTTTAAAATCTGGTTTGTTTTAAAAAAAATATATCTTTAAAAAAAGAACAACATCATTAACAGTCAACCAGTGGAGAAAATCCTCTCACTTTACTATTGTATACCTTTAAATTATGTTAGCTGGATTCAGAAAAAAGGGTCTACTGGCAAACAGAATCTGTAGAAAAACATACAGAAAGAGAAAGACTTGCTCAGATTCTTGTCCGTCGTGTAAATCATTATTGTTTAATATAGACCTACTTCTGCAGTTTTATTTGAAGGAACCTTCACGGCCTGTCCGGTTACACTATGATTATGTAGGAAATACTAATTGACTTTAACTGCAACTTAACTGACTGGTGGGACCACACAAAAAGCAGTTATTCTGCTGTATGCCTTGAAATAGGCTCACCCTTTGTTTGTGAAAAAAAAGAAACACTCAAAAAGTTTCAATACCATTTGGTTATCCATTTTAATTGAAAACCTAAGGTCTGAAGCAAGTTTATTGTAGCCAGGATATACCAACTGCATTCATGCTAAACAGTCACACAATGGTGGTTATCAACTTGGTAATTACAACATGGTAGCAAAGATGAAGAATTAATCACACCGCCTGTATACAAGCAACAATGAGATGGAGAAGTGTAGGTCATCAAATACCAATGCTTTCTTCAAATCCTTTAGTTGTGTCAGATTCATAAAGTATCCCTTTAATGCAGTATTTAGTTTGGCATGAATGGAGAACATTGGCCTCTTGGGTGACTGACATTTTTGTGATTCTTTCACCTTTCCCAAAACCAACACTCCAAACTGACCGTCTTAGTCTTTGTAGTTATTGAGTGAGTCATTTCTGTAGGTGTCTCATGCAGATGCGGAGCGCTTCTTTTTGCCTCCATGTGACACTGAGGGCTGGGGATAGTTGTTTAAAGTTCTTGGTATACTTTTGATAGAGCAATTTAAGCCTTCTTTTCTTAGTCATCATGCTATCACATATCCTGAGAAAATGTGTTTATCATATCTTAATTTCCTAAAAATATGCAAAGAAAAGTAGGTAAGCATAGTTATCTCTTACCATAGCCTCACTAATGAAGTTAGTTTTCAGCTATGGTCCTCTTTAAATGTGATGGATAGTATTTGTTATGCTTAAAATGCCCACTACATAGTGGATAGTACACAACCCAAATCTTCTGCTTATTTCCCAAAACTCTGAATGATCTCACAGCTGGAAACAATATTTAGATAGAGAAGAAAGAGACACCATTTGCCTTTCTGTGTTTCATTTGGTAACAATTACACCTTTGAATGCTCACCTTGATCTGACAGTGTTTGGCGTGAGGAGACATGGCTGACGATATCAAAGCAATACCAAGAGACTTCTTTGACGGGTTCAAAGCACTTTGAGTAGTTGCAAGAGAGAGAGAGACATATGTTATCATTTAATTTGAAAGCAGTCAACAATGACATATACAGCATTCATTTTATAAAATAAAAATAATGGAATAAGCATCTCTATCTCTCAGAGATTGACACTTAAATCCATATTAGTGTCAAAACAAACTTTGAATTCATTCATGAATCATGTAACTTAAGACTTTTGCCAATGACTAACTGGGGTTAAACAAGATGGATTCAGACGGGAGATGTTAAAAGAACGTGCTGTAATACAAGACATCTCTTTTACATGTCCTAAAAGAGAATCTATCCAACACTGAATTGCACATCGTCACTTCAGGCACATACAGTGAGGGTTGTTTGGTTTAGACTCATCCAGATGCAATACAATCTGGGTGTTCCCATTTAACCAAAAACATCTTTCAACATTGCCAATGCCCGAGAAAATTACTGATGCCTTGTTCAACATTGATGGTCATAATAGTGTTGTGTATTTCACATGTGTTACTACTAAGACAAATAATGTTGGTTTATTCTGCAGACGGGGTGTGCTACATCTCTATGAGAGTAAGGGTATCCAGGACCTGGGACTACCACGCTGGGAGTTATCCTTGTGCCTTGTCGTGGTGGTCTTCATCCTCTACTTCAGCCTCTGGAAAGGTGTCAAGTCCTCAGGGAAGGTAAAAAAAACTGGACCACTACGGACACACAAAAAAGATTTGATCCTCAATTTTTTCTACAATCTGAAATACAAGTCATTTCATGACAACAATAATATCTGTAAAAAACTTTATTTTGGTTATCCAGTTTAACCGTGCAAAATGTTGTTTATAACTGCCTCTTCAGAAGAATGAATTGATTCAATATCATCGTGATGTTCTCTTTCCCCTGTTTGTTCTGTGTTTGTATACAGGTGGTGTACATCACAGCTACCATGCCCTATGTGGTCCTTTTTGTTTTGCTGATTAGAGGTGTTACTCTACCAGGGTCCATGGATGGCATAAGGGCCTACTTACACATTGATTTCAATCGGCTCAACAATCTAGAGGTTAGAGACAGTGCTTGTTAGTCAAATGCATCCAAGGGTGTTGGAGAGATATTGAATGGGTTGCCATTGGTTGACTTGTGAAGAAAGTCTAAATACTCATGTATTTTATATGAAATCTGAGGTTTTAATGCCCAAAACCCATTTAGTTTAGACTTCTAGTTTTGTATTAGTCCATTCACTTATATACTGTAACATATATATGACTTATATTCATTACAATTCATTTCCCATTTACTCTGTGTGACATTTGCAACAATGTCTAAGTTGATTCAGAGAGCCTATTTTCTATTTGACAATCATGCTCTGAGATTTAAAGTCTGAAATCCAACTGGTGGCTCCAATACCAGTATATCAATGAATGGACTACACATTTACTGCAGATAACATCTTCCACTGAGTGAGCTGATGATTGGTGTAAGGATTGAGAAAAAGTTTCACTTTTTGCATGCTTAATGAAAATTGCACCTAAATAATAAAAGCAGCTATTACATTACAGTCAGTCGTCAAGTGCAATTTGATCCTTGAAGCATTTATTTTCCATAAATCAAAGCTTTCTTGTTGTCTTTTTCTTTGCCACAGGTGTGGATTGATGCTGCAACACAGATATTCTACTCACTGGGAGCAGGTTTTGGTGTGCTCATTGCATTTGCCAGTTATAACAAATTTGACAACAACTGTTACAGGTAAGAGCTTAGTTACCCAGTATAGCTGATTTTTTGATAGTCCAAACAAGCCCACAGCAACATAACATCCTGCTGTCTTTAAGTAGCCAGTTTCTTTCAGCGTGTAACCGGATCCCCAAGCAGCAAGGGTGATGCTAATCTGTCCAGCTGAACCCAATGGCCAGGTGTTTGCAGGACAGATAAAGTACAGGCCAGGAAGGATTTCCAGATAATAGCCTAGGGCTGTATGTTGACTGGAGTGTCAAAGGCCTGCTCTTCTTCAGTAAGAGCACACAAGGTTTTGAGTTTGGCTTATCTTTCTCTACATAAATAAATTGCAGTGGTGCTGTTTGAGGCACATCTCGGCAGAACAGTAAATAAAGGCCATCTTCACCCCGCAGACTGGCACTAAACTCAATCTGACTGATAATTATTATTCTCCTAAATTCTTGGTTATTTAAAAATAAGGTAAAATATATAGTGAAGTTTCATCACAGAGGCTTGCAATATAAGTTAGTGCCGTTTAAGTGTTGTAAGAATTGTACTCCTCTTATACCGTCTTCCCTTATATCTTCCTCCTTGCTCAACCCTAAACGGGGCGTCATGCCTTCCTCCTCTTTCATGTCTCATTCAGACATGCGTGTGGACTGCTGCTGGCAGGTGGGATTTGCATTATATCCATAGTGGCCAATGACCAAATCTTAAGGGGAAAGGCAGCAGCATGGTAATGTGAGAAAAACAAGCATCAAACCCAGACTTTTGTTTTTAAATGCCTTCACAGATGGAGGAAATCTGCTAAAGGTACAGGGCAATGCTTGAAAAGCACTGTATCCTATGCACACAGGAAAATATAACTTACATAACTGCCAGAGCAGTCAGAAGTGTGCAAGATGAAAATGCAGCATTTGGGCTATTCTTACCATTCTACATTTTTTGTCTCACAAGACAGTCCTTGGGCCTTTATCTCACATTAAAAAAGCTTAATATTATCTATGTTACCTTTTTTTGAAGTCTGACTTTTCTAGTGCAGCATGCTAGTTATGAACAGATCAAACTTCCTGCCAGTAGCAGACAACAAGAACATCTAATAAACCTGAAATCCCTCTCAGAAAAAGTATTTGGCTGACTGATCAACCCAAAGAAAACTTGGGCTGTTAAATTATTAAAAACATTCAATCAAAGACACCTGGCTTTCTTCATAAAATGTTTGTGTTGTGTGTTTTCTGTCTCCAGGGATGCTCTCTTGACCAGCACTGTGAACTGCGTCACCAGTTTTTTCTCAGGGTTTGCCATCTTTTCTGTGCTCGGATACATGGCCTACAAACATGGTGTCAAAATAGAAGATGTTGCAACAGAGGGTAATATATGGACACAAGTATAAAGAATAATTTTAAAGGTGCACTTTTAGGCCTTAATTGAAAGTTACATATTTAATGTGTGCATGTTTCTGTTTCTGTGTGTGTGCAGGGGCAGGTTTGGTGTTCATCATCTATCCTGAGGCCATTTCTACACTGCCTGGCTCAAGATTTTGGGCCATTGTGTTCTTCATCATGTTGCTGACTCTGGGCATTGATAGCTCGGTAAGATGCAAAGGCCACTGTGGCCACTCTAAATGAATTCACTTCTTATGAGAAGTATTTTCAGCTGATGGAAAGGAAAGAGACAGCTCTGCTAAAACATACTAATAATATGCACAAGACATATGTAAGCATTTAAAAGAATTAGTGAGTAGATTACATATGAAAGTACAAGGCCCTGTTCAGAGGTGAATATTACAAATTACACAGTGCTTACAAAATTATCTTTACATTTTATATGACTCAAACTAAAAAAAGGTTAAGTCTTTTTTCATTGGAAGAAAGTTCTTCATCCTAAAGAATTTCTAGTTTTCCCTTTTTTGACACAATGCCACCTTTTCTTTTCATATAAATAACAAACCGGATGAAGTGAATGTCCAAACAGAGTTTGAGATTACAATGATATCTGTGTTTTTTTCTGAATGGCTTGGCTGCGTTGCCAATTAAAGCTGACCTTTTTTAAAAGAACATGTTTATGAAATGCTCAATGGCATCAATTTGATTTTTGAATAACAGTGCTGGCTTTTCCTCGAATAGTACCAATTATCTTTAAATGATATGAGCTGACTTTTGTCAATTAAGTGAAAATGTCAAAATGTAAAACTGTACCCATTAAACTGTACAGTAACAAATTAAGACTAAACACATGTTGTATATTGCATTTTTAGTCACTGTTAATAGGAGTTATTTTAAGTTTAGGGGATGCAATGTTCGTAGAAACCCCTTCTGCATCTGAACTTTTATTAAGGGAGGACGACAAGTTTCTCCATTTTTGTTATTGATATTAGAGCAAGACATTTGTCCTATTACAGTAGCATGAACATTAACTTTAATCAAATACATACATCATGTTTTGAAAGTGTCACTATTACCAATGATCACATGCACTTCTACGTGAAGCATTCAAGGATCTAATCTTGCTAAACACCGTCAGCAAACTGTACTAAACTCAATTTAATTATCGAGTTGCAGAGAAGGCAAATCTGCATTACCCATTACATTACTCAATACTTTGGATTGGTAGAGATTTCTGACTCCCATCTCTCTTTCATTGTGTCCACCAGATGGGAGGAATGGAGGCAGTTATCACAGGTCTGACGGATGACTTTAAGATCCTCAAAAGACACAGGAAGCTCTTCACCTTTGCCACGGCTTTTGGAACCTTCCTGGTTGCCTTGCTCTGCGTTACCAATGTCAGTATCATTTATTCCACACAATTACACTCAGTATTGACAAAATTTCAGAGTCCCACTTTTAACAAAATGCCTATTTTTTCCACGCTTTGTTTTACTCCTGGAAGATTTTAATTGTATTAGTTTAAACCATTCAAAAATACTGCACAAATAATTTAAACTACAGACTTGGTGGTCTCAGCAAAAATATTGTTTGAGTTTAAATGTGGTGAAAAACTATGTATGGCCAGTAATGTCAAACCTTAATAAACGAGACATGACACTGTACGTCACTGCTGCCAAGAAGAAAGTATCTAAAGCCTTTTTCACATATGCACTCCGAATAATATCTAGATATAAACAGGAGGGACTTCTCCAGAGATTCTCCCGAACTAGTCGTTCACATATGCTCCTCACAGCGGGGGACTATTCCTGTCGGGGGGGTGGGGGGGAGAATTTCCTGAGGTAAGACGTGATGTAAATAAACAACGCAGAAGTAGCGGAGAAGAGAGGAGAACAACATACTGACCAACAGAAAACATAATGCAGCTGTTTAATTACGTGCACGGAGATCGTAGTGGTCGCGTGCAGACACTTTATATGTATATAAACGTCATTCTCTTTTCATTGGCTCACCTCGAGTTGAAATCTCCGGGAGTATATGCTGCTGCGTTCAGACATCAGCTCACTCGGATTTTCTGCGGATAAAATAGGGGTCTGGCTGGAGAAACTCCGGGTAAAGTTTGCGCGAAAAATGCCGCTGTTTGCGTTCACACACAGCCTAAAGAACCTCTGGGTAGCCAAATCTCCAGAGTTTTTCCAAGAGATTTCCGTATGTGTGAAAATGGTTTAAGTCTGATGATGTCAATGTCACAGAACTCATTCTAAGAACTCATCAACAAAGCCATGGCATCTATCTCTGACAACTATTTAAGCATTGATCACATAGGAAGCAAAGCAAATGAGAAACATCCTCTACTGTCCCAATTCATTCACATGGTATCAGCACGAAGGGGGAAACCCTTGCTGATTACAGAAATACAGACTTTGGAGTCAGAAAAGTATTATGTTAGTGATTCACATGGTTCCTCCCCTTAATCAAATCACTGAGGAAGTGAATGATGTCTTTGATGATGTCTTTCCCATGAGAGATCCATGGGTACAATAAACAGATTGCACAACTCAGGAATGAAATTAAAGATTGATTGTAAAAAGTTCTAGTACACAAAGGATCAAGGCAGTCAACATAGTCCATAAAAAAATCAAAACAAGCATACAGTATACATTACAATAGCCAAGAGACCACTGTTTGTTAACAGCTCACCGGTGTCCATGTATCTCCAAGGGTTAAAAGTTATATCACACACTTAAACCCCCTGTTTTTTCTCTGTAGGGTGGTATCTACGTGCTGACCCTGTTGGATAAGTATGCAGCTGGGACTTCCATACTATTTGGTGTGTTGATTGAGGCGATTGGAGTGTCGTGGTTTTATGGTATGACATTTTACTGAAATTCTGCCTTCAAAAAATATTTTTTCTTAACATACTGGTCATTTTCTAGAGAAAGTTAAAAAAAAAAAAAAAAAACATATCAAGTTCTCTATTCCCATCTTCTTGCAATAATCATTAAAAAAAAAAAAATCATGCTCACTACAGGTGTTGACCGCTTCAGCGAAGATATCGAGAGAATGATGGGCTTTAAGCCTGGTCTCTATTGGAGGCTGTGCTGGAAATTTGTCAGCCCAGTTTTTCTGTTGGTAAGTGCAATAAATCACAATGAACTAGTTTAGTTGGGCTGGTTTTCTAGACAGGGTAAATATGTAAACCCAGCCATAAGGCAAGAATAAATCAGCCACATGCTTACAGGCTGTATAAAAAAAAAATGTATCATTCAGGCCAGCATGAGGTAAAAAAGTTTGTTTACATGTTTGTGATAAAACTAAGTTAGCCAGCAGACTAAGATCTAACTTTGAATCTAAATTGCAGTTCAGTAAGCATCCAAAGCTGAAGTTATTAAATAGATGCAATAAGTTGTTTGACGCAAGGAAAAGCGATTACTCACTCCCTTACTACATGTCCCCAGTTTTTATCATGGCAAGGTTCTTCAGGCCCATACCAAGAGTAATCAGGAAGGATTATAAAGAACCTTACAGAGCCTCCATTTATTACAAGAGGTTGAAAAAAACCTGCATGGTGGGCAAGTTAAGACAAACAAACATTTTGGTATCAAATTAGACTCTGACTCAAAATTCTCCAGGTCTTGTGTTTTTTGGCCCATCCATAAGCCCCCCCTGGACTATCAACAGACGTTCTCAGTCAAAATTTTATAATCTATTTATTTTTAAGTCACATTTACTTGAAAGCTGAGTTCAGATGCTGATGGGTTTCTTTTGTGTCTGTATGAGATGCCAAGGGCCATGACAAGGCAGATGCAGTTGATGCCAATGAGAACTGGCTAGTAGCATGCCACTCTGAACTCAAAGAGCACCATGTCTTCTTGTATGCAATAATGTCCATGCAAGGGTGTGGATAGCTAGGTGCTCCCCTAATACAAAAGGCCTAATATGAAAGCCCTGGACAACAGTAGAGGGTTGTATAACGAAGGGCAGCAATGTGGAAGAATTTGTCAATTCACATTGAAAATGCAAAATCAAATTATCATATGTAAAGTACCCCAATTAAAAGTGCCTGTAGTCTGAAAGCTACACATGCTTGTCAGAATTGCCAAGAAAGTGCTAAATGTGTCCACTGTTATGTGCTTGTTATGTAGATGACACTATTGTAGCAATGATATTCTTCTTTCTCAAATCTTGTTCTTGAAATATTTTTGGCTTACACTCTTATTATTAAGTAGTAGACTTTGTACATTACTAATACATGTAGATGTAACACATCTTAACTTTCTTTTGCCTTCTCATCCCCTTTCTCAATTACAGTTTGTTGTTATAGCCAGTACTTTAACATCATCACGCCTGAAGTATGATGAGTACGTCTTCCCTTATTGGGCAAACATAGTTGGCTGGGGTATTGCCATGTCCTCCATGCTGTTTGTACCTTGCTACGCCATTTATAAATTCATCAGTGTACCGGGAACATTTAAAGAGGTCAGTATGAAAGCATGTTTGTCTCCAAAAGGTCCTTGTAAGCTGCTTTATAAACACAGTTTTTATCTAAATAGTGTGATAGTGGATGATGATACTAAGTAATATTGGAAAAACAATACTGAATGACAGGTATAAGTAATATGTGAAGAGTTTCCTATTGAGATTAAAAAAAAAAAAAAAAAGGATATTGGTGATTCACACAGTACTTGGGCCGTACTGTGCCTAAGCACGCTTCAACCCTAAAGTCTAGTTCGTTTGGCCAGTGTGACCGCTCTGTATCGTCCTTGGCTTTGGTACACTTCGGAGAGGTGTGCTTCGGCATGGTACACTTCATGCACGAGCACGTGGGTACACAACCCTGACAGCCTTCATTATGGAGAAATCCAGAGTTTCATGGCTGTATCTGACTAACATGACACAATATAAGACACAAAGTAGCTGTCATGTTCTCTGTGTTGTTCTCCGATGTGCAGGCGTCTGCGTGGACTTGGCCGCGCGTCTATTTTATTTATGGCTATGTCTGATTAAAATGGCTTAAAATAAGCTGTAAAGTCAGTAAAGTAGCTGTGTTTTTCTCTGATGTGCAGACGCGGACTTGACTGCGCGTCTCTTTTTCCCTCGCTCTCTCATCCACCTGTTTGTAAACTGAGCAGGCGTCATAATAACAAAGCGTGCGTGTCTTGTATTACGACGTTATGTACAAGAGGTAATCGTCTTTTAGGCACGGTTAGTCCTGGCCAGTATGATGCAGGACTAATGGCGCAGCGGGGGGGGAATCGTGCTTGAGTACAGCATGGTACAGATGGCCAGTGTGACGTGCCCTTATTAAAGACATACAGTATGTTCCCCTTCAAAAATAAAACAGACAGCAACAAACTGATTCAAGAGTCAACTGTCCTCTCTGAACTTGATAACACTGGTACAATGAGAACATTCTCAGATAAAATAGTTGCTTCAAAACATTGAGAGTTTATGATTGTAATCATCAAAGCACCAGACAGTTTCTTTCTCCCCCCCATAGCCATGTAAGCTTCACTCTCCTATTACAGTTACCACATCCCATTGGCACTCAAGGTTTAATATTTTTTCTGAAGCTCTAAGGACCCATATTATCCCTCATAGTATCCAGAATAAACCTGGGGTTATCATATGGACTCCTTACAGGTTCCAAAAAACACAAGTATTAAGTCAGAGATAAAGATGATGACTGTTTTCCTAATGTGAAGTAATACATGGACTCATTGGGCCCTGCATGTTTGTTCAGACTGCAGGTAAAAAAGATTTGTTTCAGAAGTTTACTTTTAAAACACATCACATTTTGGTCCAGAGACCCATCTTTGTGTTTCGCTGTGGTAATTGCAGAGGGAGCAATAACAACATATGCTCACGATGCTCTTTTCAACAGAAGTACAAATACGGAGCCATCATCTCACACTCAAAACTATTGTGTGTCAGGTTTCAGTGCTCCATTGCACCAGACATACTCAGGGACAGTGCAGGCTGTTCTTTACAGCAGCTGTGATACACTTTCCTCACTGTGGATTTGAGTTTGTCTGTGTTTTGCATTGCATGGGATATCAAAAGCACATTTAAATATAATTTGAGGAGTCATACCATCTGGACTGACTGAAACCAGGTCAAAGAAATTTGATTGGAAATCACACATCCTTTAATTTTTCTCTATCCAAACTTTTTAAAATCAGCTTGGATACAATCAAAATTATGAAAAAAAGTCCTATGTGAGCTGATGAGGAAAGTAACTCTTTAAAATGACTCGAAATACAAATAAAACTTTAAAAAAGTATTGAGACAGCTAAAAAAGGCAAATTATGTTGATTGTATGCGGTCTTCAATGATGCACGAAGTTTTGAAGTGGTTGAAATGATTTTTTGTAATTTATTTTTCTTGCAGAGGATAGCCTATTGCATCACACCAGAACATGAACATCATTTGGTGGCTGAAGGAAACATACGGCAATTCAAAGTAAGGCCAAAAGTTTTGCTTTTCTGATAGTTATTATTCAAAGTGTTTAAACTGCTGCACAAATAGAGAAAAAAGACAGATTAGACATTTGGGTGTTGGTCTTTAAAAAAGGAGACGCCTGCAAAAATAACTACTTAAATGAGATAAAATGCATTTTGATAATCAACAAACCATGACTGCTTATGTTTTACAGCTAAAGCATTGGCTGGCCATATGACAAACACACAGAATTCCCTCATCTATCCTTGCGTCTGGTGTTTGGAGATCCTGTGTTCCACCAGTGGTCGGACAGAAAGCAAGAAAAACAGACTCCAACTTCACCATCATCCTTCCCCCTCTCCCTTTATCAACTATGGCCTTTGTTGACAAAAGTAGCTTTAAGCACTTTGATTTCAAAGTAAAGCCTGTTAACATTTCAATGTCATTCTACAATTTCAGATGGTAAAGGAGGGGCAACACTTGGGATAAAACTGTACTGTTATTTGCCATTAGGCATCATTATGGTTTCTTGAATGTCTGTGATGTAACCATTATCTTCTGCAAAAGACAGAAACTAAACTTAAAACCAAAAACAACCCAATTTCACTGTGTGCTACTTAACTTTGGACCCAAATATTTACATTTTTTAAACTTCATTTCGGCCAGGGGTTATTAGTTATTATGTTACTACTGTATAAAAATGGCCTGTTCTGTTGACAGAGTAGCTTATCTGTGTCAGTGCCTTATCAAGCAAGACACTTCATGCTTCTCACAGTCCTTACAGGAAGAAACAAAATAAACTGTGTTGACTCAGGAACCCACTTAATCCAACCACAGTTTGTGGATGGCAATCTCTGGATTTGACTCTGCCCTTTGATATTCAAGTCAAAGAGCTGAAGGTCAACAGTGCATCCAGGTCAAGCTCGCAACAAGAGGAACAGACCAGTTATTATGTTTTTGTGTCACATCCAGTTACAGAAAAAGGGAATAGCACATTTTTTCCTCTATGAAGCTTTAGAACTGCTTCATTCACCTCTTAAGCTTTAAAAAGGCCAGGGTCACCACCAGGACTTCATTTGAAAGATAGACTCAGGCTTATCAGTATGGCCGTCTAACTGAAGATGAAAATTTCAGCAAAACAATTGCGAAACTTAACTGTTACAGAGAGTTTTTGTATTATTGTTGCTGGACTTTTTCTTTACATATTTTTATCTTAGGGGTTGAGGGAATATGTGGCTTATTCTAAAAAAAAAAAAAAAACGAAACGAAAGTGTGTTTGTTTGGCTGGGTGTGCGTGTGTTTATTGGTATTTTGTTGCCAACTATGTAGTGAGTTGTTGGTGTAGAGTTCATGAAGGAGTGACATGGAGCGACAACTGTCAAATGTATGCTTACAAATTTTGTGATTTCATTTGAAACATATCTTGTCATGGTCCACTTTATATCACTTTAGAAGTGCCAATATGTTCCTTTAGGAATGTTTTTGATTATCTTTTTATATTGCTTTTGTTATTTATTGGAATTAAGTTTATTTTAAACCTTGAATCAAACAGACCCTTGCTGAAAGGAATAAAGCCACACAAAAATACAGATATATGTGGAATAGTAAAATATATAAATATATTCTTTTGTTACAACTAATCTTGTATTTATCAAATAGTTTATAACAAAACGTGAATGTAAAGTATTTTAAGCGTAACTGTCCACAGTCATAGCATGATGTTTGATGTATAGCTAAGAGAAACTATTAAGATTAAATATTCCTCAGTGTAACCCAGGCTCCTTCGTCACATCTATGTGGAAAAAGACACTCCAGCTTGGACTATGTTCATGAAAATTCTATGTACAATACCAACGTCCTGTTGAGCGTGAGTGACCGCTATCCATGAAGAAGTCTCAAGTAATCAAAGTATGATAATAAAGATTTTCTTCTATACACACACTTGAAGACTATTTGCTCTCACTTTCTGTCATATTTGAGAAACGTTTAAGTGTTGGACCCTCTAACCGCATCGTTCAGTTTTACAGCTGACTGAAGCCTTACCATAATGGTTGATGGTATACCCATTCCTATGATAAATAGGAAGCTAAGCAAAAAAACAGTGTCAACTGAAGATACAAACTAAATTGATTGTCAACAATCTTAAAAAGGTAATAAGACTGTTTTTTAAAGATACAATCATTCCAAATGATAAAAAGTGTAAATGGACTGGATCTTCTTCGCCCCATTGTAGTATTAGACCACTCCAGTTTTTTTTGTTTTTTTTAACACGTAGCACAAATTAATTCAAGGCCACATATCAGCTAATTATTTACACAGTCATACATTTCAGAACTATGGCTTTGGAAGCTATTTTGGGTTCAGTATCTCTCACAAAGAAACTTCTGTATGTATACAGGAGAGTGAGGGTAACAATCTTCCAATTTTTAAACTGAAGAGCAACCTGCACAATCGTGTGCGACAATCAATCTGCTTAAAGATTGTCTTACTCGAGCCACAGTGTCCCCAAGTAAGATGGAACTGAAGCTTCATGACAAGACTCCACAGGATCCATCTGCTGCACATTCTGTCTGTGCCATGCACTCCGGAGATGATCTCACCCTAACAAGTCAATGCTGCGGTCAGTCTCCGGTGCATACCAGAAGCACCACTCCACTCTGCTATGTTCCGAATACGCTCCAATTATATTTACACTTCAAGCAACAGAGCAGATGACCCAAACAGGAAGTCAGACATGGGAACGCATCACTCTAATACCATTACATCAAAACAGGCAAGAAACAAACAGCAAATCAACATGTAAGACAAAGCAACATGTTGTTTGCACGTTGTTCTCTTTATTCCCATGTTGTGAACCCAAGTCCAGCAGCCCATTGCCGCGTTCAGCTGAGTTACGCTTCAGAAACAAACCGAGTGAGATATGGCAAGTGTCATCCAATGGAACAAAACCTTAGCGGGGACTAAGCGCTGCGCACACGGCTCTTGACGAGTCTGCCATGAGAGAGAAACGTCTGCTAACACTGCTCTCTAAAAATTCAATGATAAAAACGTATTGCTTATTGTTATCCTTTACTCTTTGTTTAGGATGATCATTGCCATACATGATTATGATACATAAGTCATCAACACCAGGTCAAGCTGGCATGCCCTTTAGTATAACGGAATATCGAGTGAAACATTTCAAAATAGTTGTGTAGTTGGAGCATCTTTATTAAACTTATTGCTTATGAATATTTCAAAAGAGCAGAAACACAAAAAATAAACTTAAGGGCTGAGACAAGCCGCTTAGTGTGTTAGGACAGGTGCAAGTTTGTGTGCACAAACAAAACCTTATATAACATAACCTAAAATTAGGGACTATCTTCAGTTTTTCAATCCATCACAGTGATCTGTAAAGAAGTGTTTGGCTAAGTATACAGCTACAGACTACAGCAAACTGTAGGATAACGTTAAGCTCAAAAGTGGGAACAGTCAAACAAAAATTTTACTTCAATAACCGTAATCCATTAACAGAAACTTTCACTTAGTAGTTGATCAGTTAATTACATTAATGATTAACTGAACTTATCCCAGCATAATCGAAAAACAATAATATCAGCTTTTAGCATGACAAATGAGTGTTGTTCTTAAGAGGCCATGGTGACTTAGATAACTATTAAAATTACAATCAATCTGTATTGAAAATCTACAAATAGACACTTTTCCAAAACAACAAAACAGTCTTCATTCTAGCAGCACTCCGGAAGTGCTGGGCCACTCTCTGTACTCAAGAGTTGCAAATTGATTTGTTTAAAGTTCACCAAAAATATGAGCGCGTTTAATGAACATGTTCAGGCACAGCACTGCAACATGGATAAGCCCCGCACTTGTTGGGAATACACAGGGACATTGCTCAGGACAACAAACCATAAATTAAGTATTTTGGGCCTTTCTAGGAGTGGCGGGAGCTGGGTGTTGGGGGATGGGCCGCCCCTTCAAAAAGATGGTAGTTGAAACTAATATTATTTTATTACTCAGATTTATTACTCAGACAGGACACACTCACACAATTATCTTTGGTCATAATGCACATGTAACAGGCAGATGAAACTTTTCTATATTAAAGCCAGTCGTCATGTCTTGTTAGCTGATTTTTAAAGAGAAACTTGTGACCAGTTTGAAGAGTACTGTTTCACTGGTCTCTCTCACCTCATTTCAAACCCCTGATGGATTTCAATTTCAGCCAGTCGCAGATCTAGCAATAAAGTGAAGAATGTTGAATTTGGCAGATGAAGGACAGCTCACTTTTGAAACATAATAACACCAACAGTTATTGGAGTTTTTATAAAGCTTTTTCATTAAATGCTGGGCCGTTTACTGTAACAAAAATAACGTGGAGTCTTTCAGAGTATTTTTAGCATAGTAATCAGTGTTTCCCCTACCATTATATTGGGGGGAGCTTCAAGTGTTTGTGTCGTTGTGTCGCTGTGTCGTCGTGTCGTCGTGTCGGCTTGTCCCCACCCACCACGCTGTAAACGTAGGGGAAACACTGGTCATGAAGGGACCAGGTCAGCTAAATCAATTATATTAGCAAGTTGGAAATAACATCATTTCCCAAGGTGAAAACATAGCATGTTCTTCTTTAGAAGAAATGTATTTGATAACACATACAGCTGATAAGCACTCTACTTTTTCTGCCTTTGATGTGTTGTGTTGAAGGGCTTGAATTATCCTCCTTTCCTTCTCAATGTTTTAAGATCTTCTTTAATGCCTCAAAAAAGGTCAAAACACAAACTTTTATCAGATTTGCTAATAAAAGTCAAGCTGGACCACAATAGACTGCATCTTTATTGGCAGCTCTGTGCAGCACTAATGTGATTTGGGCACAGGACAGCCATTTTCTAATGCACCTCTTCAAACTGAGGACATCTATACTCTTAATCCAATTGCAAGGGAATAATCCATGTGACTGTGCACTAAATCTTTCTGTAGTTTTCAGAATCACTTCATCGATATGCCAACACAAAGAGAGCGGCAAAGGAGCTACTGTGGAAGTGTTAATTTGATCATACTTTGAGGTTTTCCACTGAAGTTTTTCTCCTTGAAGCTGCAGAAAAGGAAAACTATATGCTTATGAAGTTTTTTTATGGAATCAGATCAGCTGTTCCTGTCAATATCTGATGGGGCCCAAGGAGATCTATCTACATGCGCATTACACCTCTCCACATCTGTGTACAGTACAGACATCATCCCTGATTTGTTGACGACTGGTGTTTGGTTACAGAGAATGAAAGACGTCAGTGTCTCACTGGTGCATAAAATGTTCCATTGTTTTACTTGGAAATGTGAAGAAATCTCAGTGAGGGATGATCTTTTCCACCATGATGTCCAACTGTGACAACAACAATGTTTCAAGACTTGAGGTTTAATAAAAACATTTGCTGGTTGCATGTGACTGTTTTTCCATTTTGATTGATGTGATACCCAGGAATGCTTTTTTCCTCCCTCGTTTCCTAATTATTTCAACAATTTAATCAGCATATAGTTAACCAAGGGTTGAGTTAACATGCATTGCTACTGGTCAGTTCTGCATGATGTCTAATATATCCTACAGTTTAAGGTGTGAGACCAATCAAGTCTGTGAAGGCTTGGCATTTTATAACAACATGGCTAACTTTGATAATTTGCAACCACAGAAAAGCTATGGGCAAGGCAATAAAGGCTGGCATTCCTCACAGGCAGGAAACTCCTATTCTCCCACGGGTAAACTATGATGCATTTCCTTTTTGTTTCTTGGGCCACCCCTACAACTGTGAATACCACAAAGAACCTGGACTAGGTCCAAATGGTCTTCACAAGAAGCAGAGAACTGTAAAGGCCTTGTGATTATTTAATCCACAAGTCTGTTTAACCACATTAGCAAAGGTTTCAGTACAAGGTAGCGTCTGTTTTTTGTCTCAGACAAACATGAATCCATTGAATGATTAATTGGCCATAGCTTCCATGAACTCCTGGTAAATATATCTGACCTCAAACAAAAAGCATGCATACCATTTATTCAAAGATGTAACTGTTGAAGGAATAAACTGTATAAATGATTTGTTTAAGAATTCTCTGTTCCCCTCTTACTATGTCATATTAACAGTATGTATAAAGGACCATTTTTATCTGAGTCACACTTGAAAAGCATTTACTTAAAGTAAGGTTTCAAATGATTTAGAAACCTATTAGTAAATCATCTATTGTTCCCTGAAAGACACCAGTATTATGACTGAAACACCCACTGCTTGCATCCATGTCCACATTTACACAGCTGCAGAAGCTTATTCTGTGTCCACACACGCACAATATTCCATCGCAGACCTCAAACATCTGATATGAATCCCACTGGGATAGTTAACATGAGGTCCACTTTCAAAAATAGACACAGAGAGGATCTTAGAAAGACCAGGAGATGGCTTGTCACTTTTGTGGTAAATGTTGGGATATGAGTCAGCACATACAGACCAACAGTTCTGTTAAGTCAATATCACACTCTAGATAGGTTTCTTCATTTAACAATGTTTTGTGACATTTTCAGCATGTCATTGATTTACATATAGTCCAACATTCATTTGATTGATGTTAAGCATCCCTTCTTTTTTTCTCTCACTTGCTCTCATTGTTCAGCTTCTTTCATCTATTATATAACTTCAAAATAGACTTAAAGTGATTAATTCTGAAGATGGCCAGTAAATATTCATAAATCTTCCTCACCATTGAGCAATTAATTGGCAATCTACAGCAGGTCTTACAAATATTCCCAGAGAATGTATACAAATGACTCCAAGGACATTTGTGCTAATTCAATCATTGGAAACTTGCACATATCATTGAGATTCAGTTCTGCATATGCACCCATGCATATCTCTTAAACATCATAAAGAACAGTTCCACAGTTATCTGCTTTGCCTTGACATTGAAAATAG